GAATTCTCTTTGTCTATCGGTACGATACTTGCCCGAGATTCGATCGTCGGTATACCGATACCTTGTTCAATCTCGTTACGACAAGTCTCTTTACTCGTTCCCGTAACACATCATCCCGTGAACAACTCCTTGATCACATTGAGCTCATTATGATGATGTCCTATCGAGTGGGCCCAGAGATACCTCTCATACGGAGTGACAAATCCCAGTCTCGATTCGTGCCAACCCAACAGATACTTTCGGGGATACCCGTAGTGTACCTTTATAGCCATCCAGTTACTTGTGACGTTTGGCACACCAAAAGTACCCTTACGGCATCCGGGAGTTGCACAATCTCATGGTCTAAGGAAAGGATACTTGACATTAAAAAAGCTTTAGCAGACAAACTACACGATCTTGTGCTATGTTTAGGATTGGGTCTTGTCCATCACATCATTATCCTAATGATGTGATCTCGTTATCAATGACATCCTATGTCCATGATTAGGAAACCGTAACCATCTATTGATCAACGAGCTAGTAAACTAGAGGCTCACTAGGGATATGTTGTGGTCTATGTATTCACACATGTATTACGATTTCCGGATAACACAATTATAGCATGAACAATAGACAATTATCATGAACAAGGAAATATAATAATAACCATTTTATTATTGCATGTAGGGCATATTTCCAACAATACATTCCACCGAGCCGGTCGATATTTTTTGGTTTCATTATCACTCTGCCAAAAAAATCTGGATCTAAAGTAATCTAGTCGCTGAAGAACTCCTTTTGGAAGGTGGAAGAAAGATAGAGTGTATATATATACATGTGAATACAAACATTGTACATTACTTACCTTGAAAGCAATTAAAAGTTGAAACGAATCCAGGAAGGACAATTATTTTCTCATTCCCCGAGACCGCGAAACTTCGGTCACTCATCACAGCCCGCGGGACATTCATGCTCGATTGATTTGCTTACGTAGAGGAGGAATATATGGTGCCTAGCTTTAGTTTGGCACGTACAATACGTGGAAAGCTACAAACGAACGGATGCAGCGGCATTGCTGGTTACGCTCTGCCCTTTGTTATGGTGAGCTCCAAGAGTCAGTCATCTTTTTCTTTTCTTTTTTGCGGGGAAGAGTTCATCTTGTTTACTGCATTATTGTAAGCCACTAGGTTCATAGAATTTCCCATCTCCGGTGTATAGCATGAGCACTGGAAGTATTTGGAGGACTACAACAAAACTATGATGATTGAACTCGGAGCCTGGGCTCATCTACACCTGGTGAACATTAAAATTAAAATAAATAATAAAAAATATGAAACTTTTTGCATGAAAGATGCTATAGGGCGTAGGTGCGTGCAAAAATTCATGGGCAAACGACATTCGAGGAGCTCGCGCCAAACATGAGAAAATCAGCTATGAACAGTGTGGTTTTTAAACTTTCTTACATGCCTGAAATTTGTCCTTTTTACCACAAGCTCCTCAATTGTCCAAACTCCACCAAATTTGGCCCAGGCATCACACATTTGACTCACCACAAAAAGACTTGAATTTTTTTAATAATTTTAAACCATTTTACTATTCACGCCCGAGAGCATCTAGACCTGTGTGCAGAAACCCCCGTCATCTACACCCGATGATTTCTGCAAATGTAGAGATACATGCAGTTAGGCGACAACACACATGTACACGAGGGATGCTGTTAGGCGACAGCACAGCATGCAAGTAGAGACATATGCGTCGGTACATTATTTGAGATACTCCCTTCATTTTTGTATACAAGGTCACAAACACATATTACAAGTACCAAGGCAAAAGTAAATGTGTGCTTAAGTCAATATTGCAAGCTAGGTTGTCTCCTTGTTTGTCGTGTTAATTAATGCATATTTTTCTGTCCCACCTACAACAAGTCAATGCTCTCACTTTTTTTGGTTGATTAATGAGGCGCATGCAAGGGATAATTAATGTTCTCCTTTGCTAGTACTACCTCTCTCTCAATTTATAGGGCGTGCGCGTGCCCCTAGGTTGTCAATTTGACCAACCTAATACAAGTCATATATTACAAAAAATTATACCAATATAAACTTCAAATGTTCTATTTTCAAACCATATAATTTTTGTGTTATATAGTTTATATTAAGGTGATAAAATTGGCAACCTAAATATACGCGTAGGACTTGTAAACTGAAACGAAGGTAGTACGAGACGAACACCATCAATTTTGTCTCGATTAGTGTTTGTGGCCTTGTATAGTTGCAAATTGTAATTTTGATTGTGACCTTGTATATAAAAATGAAGGGAGTAACTTTCTTATAAAAGATTCTCTCATAGAGAGATTGGGACGACAGAAGTAATTATTACCATGCCAACATTTACAATGGGTTGAAATATATATTCAGTCGCCGAAAACAGTTGTAGATGCTGATGCAACGCACAAAATCTAGTTGCCGGGGCATCTAATCTTTGGGCGTGTGCCCACAGAATTTGGAGAAGAAATCTAGCATTATAGAGGACGGTGAATTCAGTGCATGGCATGTATATTCTCACCTTTCTCGGTCTAGGAGCTTCCAAGACATACTTGCCACCTTTCTCCCGTTGGTGGTACGTAGAATTGTTTCTTCAGATAACTTGGACCAATTGTTGTACACTCTCGTGGAGCTTCTTTCTCTGATTCTTCTGACCTCTAGCTACCTGGAGAATACGTCACTATTCACTGATCAAGTGTGTGATTCGTGAATTAGCTATAACTAGGTTTCAACCGGCGCGGTAGTTGCGTTCGGTTGGGAAGTTCCTTTTACTGGAATCATATATGATACTCAAAATTAACACAGCACTAGCCAAATTTAAAAACTTGGTATATAGGTAGCTGAATCTGCCCGACTTAGACAGTAGAGCACTAATCAACTGAAAGCACATCACTGATCACTATCTTACAACAATAACGATAGTCCCTTCCAAGCCAGGCGTGCGCACCGTACTCCTGGCCTCTCACGCAATGACGCAACTACCCAGGAAACTATGGTTTCTCGGCCTCCCGTCGGGGCCGTCATCAATTCGCCTCGTCTTTGATGGCTTTAGAGTCATGAAGGCGCGATGGATCTTGGACCATGCCGGTGGAAGGGGCCTGGTTTGTTTTTAGATGTTTTTGTATGGTCGATTAGAGTTTGTATCTTGCTTAGAAAGACGAGGCAACGACAGCTCCCCGAAGTGGGAATAACGTCCTTCTGTTCTAGCCCCCGTTTTAATAGTGTGTCTAGTATTGTCGGAGGGCATGTGGATGTGTCTCTGACGGATCTCATGGAAATCGGTCGGCGTTGGTCTTAGGCGGATTCTCATGGATCCAGTCTTCGTTCGTGTGTCTTCAGATTAGATTCATTCAGTCTACGCTTCTCTTCATCGACGAGGGTTGATGTTTTGGTACCTTGTCGTGTGGGGTCTTAGCACGACGACTTCCTCACTGTCTACCACAACAAATGTTGTCTAGCTTCGGTGAGGGAGTGGCGATGGCGGCCGCGCACCTTCGCCTTGCTCTAGTGCTTGTAGTCGTAGCTAGGGGTCTATAAATTTAGATATAATTTTTATTATTTCTGGTGTTTCTTGTGCTGTCACGACGAATGATGGATAGATCGGATTAAAAAAAAAAGCAACAAGGACTAGTCGTCGAGGCACCACTCGTGGTGGCAGCATATGCATGCGTAGTTACAGGCCGGGAGGCTACCCTATAGCTAGCCAACTATGCATGATGTCCAAAGCCCAGTGACACCATCATTACAAACAGAGACACGATTCCTGGATTCCAAATAATATATGCTACCTGGTGCGTGATTATCTCATATATGAAGTGCAATAATAATCCACTTGCGACGTTGTTAATGTTCCATAGTGTTGAAGGGAATCGATGGCACTTGCGCTAGATATTACAGATTAACAATGGGCGCATCATTCCTTGTCATTTGCATGCTTTGCTTTCTGTCCATGGCCTCCGAACGAGTAATCTCGGGGCCTAAAGCTGGGTGTAGGCCGTGCCGTAGTATGCTTGTTAAATGTTGGGCATAAAGTCGGCTGGCCAACTTGGCCCATTTCCCATCTTCTTTTCTGTGATGGAACCTCCTCTGTGTGTGCCGGTCATGGGCCATGCCAAATTTGTGGGATCGTACATGATTGGCTCATCTTCTTTTCAATATCAGGCAAGCAATCCAGGATGCAGATCTAGCTAGCTCCTTGGAATTTTTTGCTTTTTATGGTCCTGACCTAAGAAAAGATAAAAGTTGTTTTGTAGAGGAGAAAATTCTAGACTATCCAGTTCCATCCATGCATCTACTAGCGCCGTGGTGCCGACTGCCGACCACGATCTCGGGCTATTGCCTGTGCAAACACTAATTCACAGTCGATCATGTACACAGTGTCAGAATGCTCTTAGCTCGCTATCCCAGGATGAGAAATTGGCATCGATCCCGCTGATCTGGAAACCAATTAACCCTCCAGACCATTAACAAATCGAGCCAAGCAAGAGGCGGTTAAAATAAGGAGCTAATTGGCGCCCAAAGCAGCGATGCTTTCCTACGTACGTTGGCCCGGTCGAATAAAACGCATCCCCCAATCGCTGGCCGGCGCGCGCGCGCGCACGCTCTCTGTCTATGGCTAGGCATTCCTCGTAGCCGCCCGGCGATGCGCGCGGCGACGTCGGAGTCGCCTTTGCCTGTCTGCCTAGTGCAACTTGCATCGGAACGCTTTAGCGAACGCTAGCTCGCTAGCCTCGATAGTTTAATGGAGCGGCACTGCTCTGCTGCGCCATTTGCGGCAGTTTTTATTAGATCCATGTTGCCGCGAAGCCAACGGCTTTCGTCCCCGGCCCTATAAATATGGATCCATTGAGTACTCCTCCGGCAGTAGCAACCCACAGGTCGATCCATCCATTGGTCGCCACAAGAAGCCAAACTAGTCAGGGCGAGCTAGGATTAGGAAGTGTAGCGAGAGAGCTTTGAGGTAGAGATAAGGTCGTGGAGATGGCGTGGAGCGATGCCGAGAACGAGAGGTTCGAGCGCGCGCTGGCCACGTACGGCCGCGACACGGCCGGCCTCTGGGAGCGCGTGGCGGCGGCGGTCGGCGGCGGCAAGACGGCCGACGACGTCAGGCGCCACTACGACCTGCTGACGCAGGACATCGGCGACATCGAGTCCGGGCGCTACGGTTACCCCAACGGCGGCGCCAACGGCAACACCAACCGCAACAACGGCAGGAACAGGTACGCATACACGTGTACGATCATGAGTGATTTTCGATATTTATATATGCACTTCCGATCAGTAGACTAAGTACTCACTTGATTAACTTTGCCCCGCCGCATGCAGGGCCAACCGGCCCCAGACATGATGGGATCACGCGGTTCACACAGTCGAACCAAGGACACGTACGTACCAAGTACAGTACGAGCAAAGCTAGCTAGCAGCTTATTATGCATGCAAGCTGCCGTGTATATGTACTTCGTATCTACTAGTATTTTATGCTTGTGTCTTGGGGAGTATATGTAGTAGTATAGCTCTGTCGCGAGACGAGAGCACGTACGTGTGCGTGTGACAGCAGTGTGCATATATGGGTGTAAACTGTAAAGCTTGCACTACTGTTTTTGTGACGGCATGTTTGCTAATGCTACCGATGAATGAATGATTGAATACGTATCGCTGTTACGCATGCCTGATTCTGATTGGGGATGAAGAACTGCACACATCTATCATGTTCGTCATAAATTATTTGCCGTCCGGCCCATTCCGCATACAATAGTTGTTCGTATATGCTCTCATATTGGTATCCTTTTCCATTGCCCGTTTGGTTTGTTTAACCAAGACAACACTTGCATCTTACCCTATCTCCCCCTTGACTCACAAAGCTAATCTACCATATATCTCTCCCCCCTGCATCAGGACAACAAAAGGAGAGGATGACCGTTAGACTAGACGGCTTGGGTTGTTGAGTATCGTGATTATTAGGAAAATTAAGATAGCGTAGGATATTATTTTATATTGTTTTATACTCTAAGATGATCATGTACTTCTATATATATATATGTGTGTCTATGAGGCTCAAGCAATACAACAACTATTCCACCAATTCCTCTCTCTCCTTTCTAACTTGGTATCAGCCTTATCTCGATCCTAAATCCTAGCCGCCGCCGCTTCCGCCCCCGGGGCGGTCGGCCTTCATGACCGCCGCCGGGGGCCACGCCGCCCGTACCTAGGGTTCTTTCGCCGGTCGTGTTGACCAGCTGCCCTAGAGAGTCTTTTTTTTGAGCCCTTGCTCCGAGTTTTTCTATCTTCCGTCGTTCACCCTTGATTGGCGTTTTCTTTTTGGTTTTCCGATCTAAACTTGATCGGTTTGCATCGCCCGCCGCCGCCGTCGACCCCCGTCGTGCTCCTCTACTCCAACACCAGCGTGACCGGCCGGCCTCTTCACCGACTCGTCGGCCTCGCGCGACAGGCGGCCCCTAACGGCCGTCGTCCGCGCGCCGGCCTGCTCGTCGATCTACGTCGGCCGTCACCGCCCTGTCCCTGAGTTCAGCGCGCCCCTCCATCGATCGAGCAACGGGCTGCCACCGCGTCGCCCCGTCGGGCCGCACCACCCCCGCCCCATGGTTCTCCCCGTGGCTGCACCGATCCCCGCCGCCGTTGCGTCGCTCCTTCGGACCGTAGCGCCATGGCACGTGGTCCCCGCCGTCGCCCTGAGGCCGTTCCCGTGCTTGCACCAACCCGCGTGTTCCCGCTGCGTCGCCCCTTCGGGCCGTAGTGCCGCGGCTTGTGGCAAATTGCCGCCCCAAGGCTGTCTGCTCCGGGCCTCCCCGAGGCTGCACGGACCCTCGGGCTGCCGCTGCATCGCCCCATCGGGCCTTAGCGAACATGACACACGATACCAGCAACCGCCCTGAGGTCTTCCCCGCTGTCGCCCGACCCGCGCGCTGCTACTGCGTCGCCTCTTCGGGCCATAGCGTCGTGGCGCACGGTCCACTCCACCGTCCCCGCACGTCGACTTCTACGTGGTATGCATTGTGCCGCCTCCCTAGGCGCGGGAACGCCAGCGTCCACGCTGGTCCTCATCACGCTGTAGGGTTCTTCCTCACCTACTTCGAGCACCGCGTCGTGCTTCTGACGTAGCCGCCGCCACCGTCTCCCCAGGCCGCCTTCGCCGCCGCTTTTCTTCCCGGTCCACGACGACTACCTCAACACCGGCCACCCCGACTCGACATCGACCACGGCGTGCTTCGCACGGCTACCTCAACAACGGCTACACCACCCTACGCTCTCGGCTATATCGACATCGGCACAAAGGGCTACCGCCTTGCTTGATCAAACTCATCGGTTTCCACTCCAGCCACGACTTCCGCGATGCATCGACCGTGACGACTGGGGGGGGGGGGATGTCCGTCGGCTTACCTTCGAATTATTATCCAGTCTCACTGTCTGTGTCGCTACTGATGAAGCTATGTACCTAGGGTAGGGTCATAGGCCTGACCTAAATTACCTCCCCAAGGACATCATCTTAAAGCGAGCAACATTCCAAGGGTACCATCATCCACTCGACCAGAGACATTCCACTCGGAAGAATCAATGTCACTCGACCGTCACGGAAGTCACTCGACGAACAGAAGATCTAAAGCCACTCTGCACAGCAACGGTCGGGCGTTTACTCATAGCCTTAACTACCATTTATAACATTTTAATACGGACATTACCTGTAACGCTCCACCTTTATGTACATTAAACCTCGCATAACGGAGGGGAGCTGGGGTCCTGGCGCACTCTATACAAGCCACCCTCCTCCTCCAGGTCTGGGGTTCGCATCTTTTGTAAACACACACACGCATATAATCCAGTCGACCGCCTCAGGGCATCGAGATGTAGGGCTATTACTTCCTTCGAGAAGGGCCTGAACTCGTAAACTCGTGTGTACAACTACTCCATAGCTAGGATCTTGCCTCCCCATACCTACCCCCCATTCTACTATCAGCCTTAGAACCACGACAATTGGCGCCCACCGTGGGGCAGGTGTCTTAGCAGTTTGTTGGAGAAGTTGTGATTTTTCCGATTCCCGTCATCATGGTTTCCGGCGGAGGATTGGCTGAAGGCCGCGAGATCTGTCTTGGCACGCTTGTCTTCATCGCCGATGACTCCGCTTGGCTTCACGAGGCTCCACTAGACGTCAAGGCACTCCCCGTTCGCGGGGCGACGCACTTCCGCGCATGCGTCTGCGGCGTCCTTCTTCGGCAGCCATCGATTCAGTATCAGTTGGCTCCTACGGCAACCTCGCTTTCCGTTGTTCGTCGGCGCCAGCAATCCGGTCGGTCGCGGCTTTAGCGGTGGGTGAGGCATGCTGTCGGTGTGGAACGACACCTATGGGATCACGAGAATCTCTACTACGGTTGGCGGGGCGCGGGGTCGTGAGAAGAGTGGATCAAGCTGGTAGCACACGGTTCGTTTATTCAGGTTCGGGCCGCAAGGATGCGTAAAACCCTACTCCTGCTTTGGTGGATTGTATATTTGTGTTTTTGAGCTAGCTATGGGGCGTGAGGAGCTCCAAAAAGCCGAATCCCTCTCCTGGTCGCCTCGGGCCTCCTTTTATAGGAAAAGGGGTGGCCACAGTGGCACACAGGAGGTGGAAAGGGAACAGTGATGCGAGGTCATCCCTCGCATTACATGACAAGGCGCATTTAATGTGTCTTGCTTAGGTGTCCTTGCTTTATCGGGGATGGGGGAGAGATCTATCTCGTTCGTCGCCGCTCCTTCTTGTGTCGACACGCGCCCTGGCCAGCGATGCCTGTGATGCCACGTAGGTAGGCAGGCAGCTGGGGTGGCGCAGCGGCGGGTCTTCACAAAGATCTGCATGCCACCACGCAGGTGCCTGTCCAGCTGGTTGGGTCGGCAGCTGCATGTGAACGGCAGTGGAGGTTTAGTCAGCGTGGGCCTGATGGTGGCCCCGCGGGCGTCCTCGGCAAGGGCCTTGCCGGGGCCCCGGCAAGGGTCTTGCCGAGGCGCCTGCTATCATCCCCGGCAAGGCGCTTGCCGGGGGCCTTGTGGTCTTCCTCGGCTGGGATCCCGCCAAGGATTGTCGTCTCCTTAGTGCGTATCTGATCTTGAATATCTTCATGAAGATCTGCATGCTTCCACGGGGATGTCTCCCGAATCGTTGCCCTTTGGGGGCAGTGGACTCAAGGGTGATTTGCTCCATAGGCGCGGGACGAGTCACCGCGGCAAGGGTCTTGCCGGGGCTGCTAGAACTGTCTCCCGGCAAGGATCTTGCCGGGGGAGTCCGCTTCGTCCCCTTTGCTCTTCGTGGTCTTGGTCTTGGCGTCGCAGTTCTCTCGAGTTTCGGTCTTACCCTGGCTCACCTCCCTTGCCTTGCTTGGTGTGGTGGTGCCCGTGGCTCAGACTGCCCGTGCACAGTTATAGGGGTACAAAAAGTGTACCCCTCTTTTTGTACACCGACAGGAGCCCCCGGGCCTGGGCCACACATATGCGCAACGCGTTGTTGGGCTAGGCCCAAAAACGGTGCGCGGGAAGGCGGGGCGGTTTTTACCGCGGTAAGATTCTTCGCGCGTTGTGCTTCCCATGACTCCCACGCGTGGCGCGGCGTGGGGAGGCGCGTGTGACGTGGGCGGCATGCATGGGGTTGGTTCCCGCGGGCATGTGTCACACCATAGTTAATGTGAAAGGAGGCAGCCCGTGTTTTCCCCCATAAGAAAGGAATAACCGCGGGCGCGCTGCTCACTTTCTCCTCTTTCCTCGCGCCTTTTCAAATCTCAGAGCCGCCATTTCCTCTCTTCCTTCCTTCCTAAGCTTCCGTCGTTGCCCGCCATTGTTGCTTCGCCACCCCCCTTCCTCAGCCCTCTAAACTTCTTGGTCGCCATGGCGCCCAAATTCGCCAAGGGCAAGGGGGTGGCTAAGGGCGCCGGGACTGTGGAGCCGCCGGAGAGCGCGCTGTCGGGGGACCGGATGAAGTCCGCCTTTTTCTTCCCCTCGATGGTTGATGTTCAAGAGCTCCGGGCCTCCTTCAGGCCCCTATGGGGAGCGAAGACGGGGGGAGAGAATTCGGGACACCCGGCGACGCGCATCATTCCTGCTGCTTGCGCCGATCCTGCTCCAAATCGGTATCCCTTTTTCGTCGATTATCTTTCTTGCGGGTTATACCCCCCTTTCTTCGATTTCTTCTGCGACGTTATGCACACCTTCGGCTTTCGCCTCTTGAATTTTACTCCGAATGCGGTGGCGTGCATGGCTTTCTTCGCGCATCTTTGTGAAGGCTTTGCCGGGGTGCAGCCCAACACGGCGCTCTTCCGCCATTACTTCTTCCCTCGGATCCAGCCGGGAGGTGCCGTCTCTGGTTGC